TGTCAGCTCATTTCTGATGACCAAAGTGGCATTTTCTTTTAGGCAGATAATAACAGTATTGAATCCCATTAATCTTGCAGCAGGAAGTTTGCAAAGGTAATGCTGGTAGAACTGTCCCTCCTCTGATCAACACTAAATACTAGTTCATTAGGAGTGCCATGCTCACACCATTTGTGCACACCTAGTGTTTTGTAAAGGGATGTGTGGGAATGTGTTTTCCTAGACCAAGGTACTGAAGGCAAGTCATTTTATTATTTATCTTCTTTTTTTTTTTTTTTTCTTTTCAACATCTGTCAGAAAAGGAAGTTATAAATGTCAAACATGCATGCACAGAAATGCCGATGTATGGTCTTTCATTAGTTTATCTAGTCAAGCAGGAAGGCCAAGTGTTTTTCATTGCAGAGTAAGAAATGAGAGCTTTCCTTGCAAAAACGTGCTTTTTGTTTGCTTCTGAAAAAGATTTCAAGGAGTTTCTAACAAAAAGAATATAACGGGTTAAAGGAAGTTGTGTTGAATAAATGGACCTATGGTAAGCAGGTAGAGATTTTGCTTTTTAAATAATTACACTGACTGTGTCCCTGGTTCAATTAGCATTTGTCTATGATTTTAAATGAAAGAGATCATCTCCTTTCTTAAATACTTAAAAAAAAAAAAAAAAAAAGAAGAAGAAGAAAGAACTTTCTGTGGAATTGATATTTGCAGTTGCCTTTGGCCTTTGCCACTGGTCCCTATTAAAGCAGCACAGATTAATCCTTGGATGGAGAGAAAGAGCAAAGTATGAATAAGTGTAACTAAGCACCTTTATCTTTCGAGCCGTGGACGCTGTTGTGATCAGCATAAGAGAAAACGCAAGGGCAGAATGGGACCTTTGTAGTGTGATAAAATCCCTCCGCTCAGAGGCCGTGTTCACAGTTGGAAGGGGATGTAACTTAAAAGACAATCTAATTAACTTGACAAAGTCTTTGTGGCTGCCTGAAATTCAGACCTGAATACACTTTTCTTTTCCAGGAGAGATCCCGCTCTGATTTTTTTTTTTTTTGTATGCACACACCAGGCTGTACATAATAGTCCTCCTTGTCACTCGCGTAGCTGGAGCTAGCCGCCACTGTGATGATTAATGCATGTTCTCTTCATGGCTTTTAATTTTTTCCTACCGGTTTTTCAAGCTAGAGCTGACTGTAGGGTGGCATGTCTATTTAGCAGGAGGCTGGGGTTTATGCGTTTGCACAGTCAGACTCAAAGAGGGGGATGTGGGGGGCAAGTTACTAAGCTATATGAAATATGTGCCTGACTATATGTTTCATGTTTTGGATGGTTATTGTTCCGATGCACCAGCCGCAGGCAGCTAGTGGTTGGGATGCCGAGCCCAGTGCATCTCAGCGCTGCCACAGGCCCACCTTGTGCCACACGCGTGCCGTTTTTAAGGGCCGAGGTGACGCACACGTCCCGGCCCCGTCCAAGGACGGCCCTCAGCCGAGGTTGTTACCAGCCGCAGGAGCCAGGCTGCCGGGGCCACGCTGCCGAGAGCGGGATTTATTCCTCAGCCGCGTGGAGCGGTGCCAGTGGTACGAGGCCGCGCCTGAGATGCTCTCCTCTCTAGCTCAGTTTCTAGCCAGTTGACTGAAGACTAAAGGGCAGATAGGAGCTAACAGACCATAGGTAAAATGTGTGTTCTAACTATTGACGCGTCCTAGTTTTTCCCCCCTTTCCCTGAGAAGCTCTATAATGCCATTAACCTTCTGCTTTGATCAGGAGAGAAGGGTCCCTCCTCCAGTGCCAAAGAAGCCATCGAAAGGTCAGGTGCCGCTCATCCGGGAACGCTCTCTGGAGAGCTCGCAGCGTCAGGAGGCCCGCAAGCGGCTGATGGCTGCCAAGCGCGCGGCGTCCGTCCGGCAGAACTCAGCCACCGAAAGCGCCGAGAGCATTGAGATATACATCCCCGAAGCCCAGACCAGGCTATGAAGGGATCCGACCAGGAGGACTCTCTCTGGCAAGACAAGTCTCCTGTACAATCTGCCCCTCTAGGCTCCTGCTCCAGGTCACCGCCACCAAGTACTTGTACCTCCTCCTCCCTCTGCTCCCCCCCTCTCCCTGCTCTCTGTACGCAGTCCCGGTGACCCTGATGAATCCCACCACCGTGCCGTAGTTGTCGGTTCTCCGAGAGATGTCCTCTAACCACCCTTGCTTCCTGAAGGTTTGCCCATGTCACCATGATGCTTTGTCACATGTACTGATGCTGCCACCTCGCCTCATGTAAACGAGTACGATCCTTTTTCTGTTTGAAGTGAATAAATGCGGCGCTCGGATCCCCATGCACATGCGCACCTGTACAGTAGGCTCCATTTAACCCACCCATGACCTTTAGTCGATCTAAAGCTAGCCTGTTACCTAGTGTACAGCAATACCCAACCGCAGGGGATTTTGGAAATTTCAGTCACGCAGGGTGATCCTTTTGGACTCTGCCGTCTTCCTCTAAAAGATGAAAGGAGCTATGACTCGGATTCCCCTTTTTTTTATTGCTTTTTTTTTTTTTTTTTTTTTTTAAAAAAAAAGCAGATGGCGCACTTTATTCTAAACCTCCAAATCACACCTTGTCACCTGATTTTAAGGAGTCACCAAGGGGGGAGAGCAGTCGGGGTGGGAGCAGGGAGGAGGGTAAAAACACAGACCTGGGGGTGAGAAATGAAAGCGTATCCCACAGATGGGATGGTGAGGGATAGAAAGATCCCAAGGAAAGATGCCTGCACACTCACAGCTGCACAAACTGCCTCATTTTTATTTCATCAATCACTACTTAAACATTTCAATCAGCAGAAGATTGTAAATTCGATCTTCCAGGGAAATAATCTATTTTGAAAGGCAATAAAAGAGTGAAAAGGAAGGAAATAAGAAGCAAGGACAGTTGAAGATAATATAAAAGAAGGATTTTCTTGTCCAAGTATTAAGAATTTTTAAAATTGTACTGTATTGTCAATTCCTCTTGTATTGTATTGTATGGATTATATTGGTTAAAAAAAAAAAAAACAAAAAAAAAAAACTTGTTTCATTGATGTCTTACTCTTGGTGGGATGATCCGATCTCACACATACACACAGCCACACACCAACACCTGTCAGCCAGTTGTACGCTGAGCCTGCCGTGCTCTTCTAGGCGAGGCGTTGTATTATCCACAGCCAGTTTATGCTACCGTGCAGACTGCTCCTCACCATGCAGTCCGTATCTAGGTGTAAGGTTCTAAAACAGTCTCCTCCTGATAGTATAAAGTACCACCCGACCAAGAACAATAAAGTATTTTTCACAAGTTATGGGATCGGTATGAACTTAATTTTGTTCCATGACAAGCCTTCCTTCCCCTGCTTCTGCCATTGTTTCACAGTCACAAAAAATATGCATCCCAAGTAGTCCATTAATACTGGGGGTAAATCATAGACAATAGGGCTGGAGAGGAGCGAGGCTGTCAGCCTGGCCTCCTCCAGCCCAGGCGGGGGCTGCTGCTCCTGCATACTGGTGGTCAGGCGCTGGGCACACCACCCCAGGAAGGCCTTGTGCCAACAGCAGGAAAGCCAGGCAAGCTGCACACAGCACGTTGGGCACACGTGTGGGTGGGTGGCTGGGTGCGACTCGTGCCTCCCTGCTTTCTGCTGGTAACAGAGGGTTTGGCCAGTGCAACTGTGCCCAGGGTCCCAGGAGCAAAGTTCTCATGACCCTGCACTATCTTTGCCTCCATGAGGGAACCCACGAAGGAAGGTGGTGGCTCTCCACTCCCGCTGGGGATAGGCCTAGGGACAGCTGCCCTGGTGGTGCAGCATGGTGTGCATGGTGGCCCCAGACCAGTGCGGGCTGCCTGTGCCCTTCACTGTAACAGCTGGGCTGGCCTGACCAGGTCTCACCATAGTGCTGGCATCATTCTGCCACTTGCGCTTCAGAGCACTGAAAATTGTCGTCGATGAGCAAAGCTCTTGCTAAAAGTATTCTTTGAGGTCATGCCAGACAGCTTCTTTTCCTACGACATCATAGCCAGGTGCTAATTTAATTTTATTGAAGAAAATAAGAGAGGTAATAGGTTCTGGCACCAGGTATTTTCACAAAAGCATACTAAAACCACTAGAGAATTTGCTACCTCTCAAAGCCATTGATATCTGAGCTATGTCTTTATAAACAGGGCACAACTACTTACTGCTGTGGTTTACAAGATAAGGGCTAATAATTTAATATATAAAAGACTTTTAACTAGAGTAATTGGAAATCCAGTGTAACCCTAGAGTGCTTTGTGTTATAGGAGCTTGGAAAGGCTTGACCCTCTCAGCACCCAAATACCTGTGTGTTTGCTAGTTTTGAAACACTCCATCTGACTTTGAGCAGTAATGAAATAACACCGTGTTTGCAGTATGCAATAGTGCCAACTGCCACTTTGAGCATATCGTCACGTTAAGCATTAATTTTTTGGAACTCATTTGTACCGAAGTATACAAAGCTGTATTCAGGTGAGAGTCTGCATTCACAGCCGTGTCTCAGATTATTTAGTTTCATGGATGTTTTATGAAAGATGAGTTAAGATTTTGGTTGACAAGTGGCTACAGAAATTCCTATCTAGCAAAAGCCCCCCCTTACAAAGCAGAGAAGGGAAAACTGGCTAGTCTTGTACGTGATGAATTATTGTATTTGTATATCACAGAATATTTTCATATATATTTTAAATGAATCTATTCTTAGGTGAATGCCTGTTGGCACATTTGGCTCCAGGGAGAGAATTATAATGTTTGCTTTGGTTTTTAGCAAAGTTTTAAGAATACGCCCAAGACCAGTAAATATAGAAGATAATACTTCTGCCCCTAGAATGCCACTAGTTAACCACTTGACTCATTTACTGACACGAATATACAACTAGTATATTTGCTGTATCATCTGTTTTAGTACAATTTGTAACTACTTGTTTCAGTCTAACCTGCCCGGTGTATATTCAGAATTCCTATATGTTATTTCACTTTGGTACTAAAGTCTTTCTTTCTCTCTCTCTTTCTTTCCTTCTTTCTTTCTTTCATTTTTTTTTTTTTTTTTTTTTTTTTTGGCTTGGGAGAAATTTTAGAAAAGGTTGCTTTTGTCTCCTGCTTCAGAAGTTAAAAAAAAAAAGAAAAAGGAAAAGAAAAAAATCAGTATTTATTATATTTTTTGCAGATGTTTCCATCAAATTCTCATAATCTTTTTTTGTAAAGAAAGATGAAGAAATGGATTAAAGATTTTTAATATTTGAAAAGGTAAATAGAAATAACTTATTTGTAATATAGTTCAGTTTATTTATTCATGTTCCCTTAATGCTTTTATGTGCACTATCACTTTAATTTGAACAGAATCTTTGTGAAGTTTTTGGGGCTTTTCATTTTGGTTTTGTTTTTTGGTTTTGTTTTTTTAAGGAAAAAGGTCAAAAGCGCGTTTTAAGTAATCGGGATGTAATTTGATGGCCTACCTGCATTCCCAAATGTTATTTTGAAAATGTTTCTAATATGAAACAAATGGCAAAAAAAAATAAAAATTGAAAGCCTTTAGACAGAGGAGAGTGGTTTTATGGCATAACGATTTGGATTTCCATAGGATTATCTACCTAGATGGGTGTGTGGACAGGAAAATGTAAATAGATGAATGTTTCCCATAATGTAAAAAGAGCAAATTAATAAAATAATTAATGCACTGCTTGTAAGAGCTGTGGGTTTTCAATGTAAATTCACTCTTCCAGAACCACCAGAATGCTTCGCTTGATGTGGTCCAGGATAAAAGCATGACCAGCAGCGTGTTTCTCTTGAACAACCGTTGCTTGAGACTGATTCCACAGAGCCTCCCACTTGCAGAACTTCTCACTGGAGCAAACCCCTCTGTGATACCTTCCTGGATCCCCAGCAGAACCCTCACAGGCACTTCTACAAGGAGCCAGACCCCACAGAAGTGTCAGGGGTTGGGCTGGTGGCATCACTGAGCTATTTCATTTCAGCGCACACTATCCCATGTGCTTCTTTCCAAGAGAGCGCTGAGCAGGGCCCAGCAGTGGTAGCTTCCCTTCCCCAGGGCCCTGCCTGCAGGCAGGGTTTCTCCCAGTCTGGGAAATCATGACAGCCATCAAATCTTGAACTGGGATTGTTTAATCTGGAGGAGATATAGAGATGTAGAGACCTTGTCGCTCTCTACAACAGCCTAAAAGGAGGTTGTGGCAAGTTGGGGATCAGCCTCTGCTCCCAGGTGACAGCAATGGATGAAAGTGAATGGCCTCAAGTTGTACAAGGGGAGATTGTAATATCAGGTTGGATATTAGGAGAAATTTCTTCTCAGAAAGAGTGGTGAGGGAGTGGCACAGGCTGCCCAGGAAAGTGGTGGAGTCACTGCCCCTAGAGGTGTTCAAGAGCTGTGTGGATGTAGTACTGAGGGACATGGGTTAGTGTGCAATTTTGGTGGTAGATGGATAGTTGGACATGATGATCTTTGAGGTCTTTTCCAACCTTAATGATTCTACGATTCTGTGACTGTATTCTATTTTCTGGATGGTGTTGTTCGTGTAACAGATTTAACACATTTCAGTTTATAAGCCCAACAGTTTACACGAACTGCACACCAGAGTTGTACCATGTACCATTTATCTACTATTACACCCTCAACACAGAGAAATCAGGAAGATTTATGTTCTAGAGGCAGGGAAACTTCTTACAGTTTGACAGCCACCAAGACCTAACAGTGGGATTTCGTTTCCTCTGCTGGAACTTACGTCCTCCCTGGTCACTCATAAACTGACAAACCAGAGATGGCCAAAACATGCTTAAATATTTAAAGACCTTTCTGCAGTGGCTGATATTTTCCTGCAATGAGAACACATCAGAGTATAAAACAGCAAATATGCTTCAAACTATTCCCTCAGCAGAAGAATGATAAAGTCTGAGCTGTGGCTCACAGCCCTGCCATTTGTGCTGCTTAAAGTAAACTTGATTCTTATTTATATTCAGCATTCCCTTCCAGCTCAGTGTTCCCTCCAAATCATGAGCCTTCCTCAAGAGCATGGCTTGTTATCAGTTTGCTTGCCAAAGTCTGTTCTCTCCTGTTTTGGATACTTATATTTGCAGTATGCAATAGGCAAACAATACATTTTAACCATCACTTTGAAGCATGCTTATCCATCAAGTTCACTGGGAGTCTGTGCTGACTTGGAGCCAGTTCTTTTTGATTGCAATTCATGATACAAATGTTGGTCACTCGGTGGCATTTGTCATTGTAGTCTTTGGTGTATACTTCAAATAGGGCTTTGGAATGGCAGTCAGTAGAGAAGGTTCTCCTTCAGTCCATCAGGTTATCATCCAGTCCACTTAGGACACTATCCTTTGTTCCACTGGTGAGGTTTCCCTTCGCTCTTGTGCATCCCCTGAAGACACAGCCAGGTCTTCCCGTGCAGCCCAGGATGCACACATGGGCTTGCACTGAGGAAGTTTGGCATCAACACCCACAGTTAGAAATTGCTTGTCCCCTTTCCTTCTAGTCTGATACTGTATCAATGGCCAAAAATTTTCTGTCCCACCACACCAAGCTCACTCGAACCTTTATCCTCCCTTCCGTGTGCTGTCTTCAGGGTAGGGGTTTTCCAGTTCTTCATGCCATGCTCTGGTCCACCAGATACATCTAAATTCCAGCTGCAAACATGATGTGTTCAGGTTTGTCAGCCAGTGGCTGAGCTTTCCCACACTTAGGTGTGACTGGCATGCAGCACCTCTTTGGGTCACGTGAATGAAAATGGCAGCTCTTCTATTTCTCTGAGAGTCACGTGCCCCGTCTGCAGCAAGACAAAGAGACAAGGAAAGGAGCAGTGCTTCCTGGTAATTGTGTTTTTCATGGTTCTCTTCACTGATCAGGTAACAACATAATCAGAGAAATTTGGGCCAGAAAAGTTCTGCTTGGGCATTGTGTGACAACCATCCCTTTCAGATTGCTATCTCCCAAGCTGCAGCAGGTAAGTCATCACCTCACTGCTGCTGCTACACTTAAGGGGAAGAGAAAAAAAAACACACAAAAGGAAAAAAAAAAAAAAATATATATATATTAAAAGATACACAAAAGCCAGGCCGAGCTGTGGGATGCCTTCACTTCTGTTGGGTAAGCCTTGGTGCAGAGCTCTCTGTCATACCCACTCTGCACCCAGCAGTCCTATGGCAGTGTGCCTGGATTTTGCTATTTTCCAGCCAAGCAGAATGGAAGCAATTATGAATTTTGCCAGCTCTATTCAAAGCAGAGAAATGTTGGAGTTCTTCAGCACCGCTGGGAAATCCAGAGGTTGCTCAGTCCCAGAGCATCCCTGGGAAGCTGCTGCTCTGTGATGTTTTATAGCTGCCAAAGCTTCATGGAACGGGAGAGTCTTTGTTCAGAGCTAAGGGGAAAAGCAGTAGGGCAGAGTGAGAAGGATGTTTCTGTCTGTCAGGTGTTTCATGGGGGTGAGACATTACAGAATCACACAGAATTGTAGGGTTTGGAAGGGACCTCTAGAGATCAAGTCCAACCCCCTGCTAAAGCAGGATCCCATAGGAGGCAAGGTCACATAGAAAGGCGTGAGACAGGTCTTGAATACCTTCAGAGAAAGAGGTCCACAACCTCTCTGGACAACCTGTTCCAGTGTGCCATCACTCTGACAGCAAAGATCTTTCTATGTTGCAAATGCAGACAGCTGCATGCTGAGGCTCACAGCTGGTGTTGGAGGACAGAACGGATCACAGATGTGAGCCACTAAAAGGCAACTCCTCTCCATGCAACTATCCTGCATCCCCATGGGGATGCCAAGCCTACCAGCTATCTCTAGCTCTTAGCTGTACCGAAAGGACTATCAAAGACAAATCCTTAATACAGTGTGGCTTATTTTTCCTGTTGTATTGGCTATCAGTGCTCAAAACTGCCACTTGGAATTGCTTCACAAGTGCATGTTGCATGTTCAGCATTGGATTGCTGTGGTCCTTGAACAAGAACGGTAATTGTTCCTTCTTTTGTTATGTAAAAATTGTGTAGCATTGAGATGCCAATGTATAGCAAACACTGAGCTGGGCTATGCTATTTGTCATCTCCTAGGGTGTCCATTTTTTCTTTTTTAAGGGGGCTGGGGAATAAGTGTTTGTGGTAATCACTTACTGTGCTCATTGTTTTGCTTGCCTTTGGAAGAAAACTTTCCTATCATCTGGGAAAAAAAAAAAAGAAACAAAGAACAAAAAAAAAAAAAAACAACAAAAAAACAACAGTACGGAGACTTCTTCAACTTGTAGATAGTTCTGGCAAAATCACATCTTCCCCGTGAAGTTTACACAGTTGAATTTGCAGTGTTAGAAAAGAAAGGAGACTTCACCCCAGCATTAACTGTCAGTTGTGTAATTTGGCTGAGACATAAAGATCAGTTATTTCCATGGAAAAATGCCTGCTTGCCAATCTCCAAGTGACTCCAGAAGAGCAATGCCTGAGCACCTGAATTTTAAATCACAATCATGTGTGAAAGGGTCCTAAAGCTCTGACTCATCACACAATAAATACAGATATAATAACAAGTGATCTTTGTCAACAGTGCTGTACGCCTATACATATAACAAATAGTACCTTTGATAACTAGGTACCATGGATCAATCTGAGTGGCTTTTTGCACAACCAACCTAATGCTTCAGCTGAGAGGGAGAGTTCCCTTTTGTTTACATATTTCCTGGCAATAGCATCATGACGACTGCAGTCTGGCTGAGGGAATGCGCAGGGAACTGGGAAGCCAGCCACACGTTAGCAAATTGCAGTGTACTCCCTCACTTCTACCCTTTGTTCAATTGACACGTGCTCATCTCTAAAAGGGAAAAAAGCTGCGTGTGTATTGCTATGCAGCATTTCACTGCAGTGATTGGCGTCCACCAGCATCTCCCAGGCAGCGCTGAGACTCAGTAAGAAGCAATCCATCCTCTGTGCTTGTCCTCAGCAAGCTGGTAGGATGAAAATAAAACCAGGAAACTGAGCCAAAGCAAAGCAAACCTGTTGAAGCATGCAAAGCCTGCCATTAGAACACAATCCATGCAGATTTTGTTTGTCAACAGTTGCATCAGCCAATACAGCAATAGTCTGAAATGATTTTTTACTGGAAACAATTTCATGTCAAGCAGAACATGTGAGCTTACCATTAATGGTATGAGAGTTTCCCAAGCACCAAGTGAGGGCAATGCGAGTGGAAGCACGACACAGCTACTGCACCCAGCTGCAGCAGCTGCAGCACAGGGGAGGTGCTGCCCATTGTACAGCAGGGAGACATTGCACCAGAGGAGCTGTGTGTTTTCTCCCTGCCTTGCTCTTATCTTAAGCCAGTCACCACTGGAGCGGGGTGAAGGAATCTGCTTTGGCACCAGTAATTGCACCCACCTGGGAGAGAGGTTTGGCATTCAGATTATCCAGCTTCATTCAGATCTCTACAGACCTCAGTTCTCTCCCAGGTTTTTCAATAGGCAAGTTGAAATTCTGCTCCTCGGGAGTCAGCACATTAAGTTTGCATTGCTCTTTCAGCATTGTAACAGGGAGCAGCAGTTGGATCAGATTTTTCATTCTTCTCTCAAAAGGTCAAGGAAACATGAAACTGCAAAAGCCTAATTCTTCCCTGCACCGCATTTGTGTAAACCCAGAGGGCAGCATGGCAATGGTAATTTTAATGCTTTTTTTTTTTTTCTTTTTGCCTTTTCAATACAAAATCCTTTGCGCGTCTGCTGACTGGTCACACAGCAATGCACTTACTTTTACTCTTCTCACGTTACTCCTTCCAAGAAGCTGATTTGCTCAGAGAAGCTGTGGTGCCCCATACCTGCAGGCACTCAAGGCCAGGTTGGATGGGGCCTTGAGCAGCTGAGCTGCTGGGTGGCAGCCCTGCCCATGGCATGGGGTGGGACTGGATGGGCTTTGAGGTCTCTTCCAATCCAAACCATTCTGTGATTCCATGACTGAGATGAGTATTCACAGCACCCAAAAGGGTTCCAACCACTGTAAAGCAAGCATAGCAAAGCAGGGGCTTGGCACAGCCTCAGCCGCACTGGTGTGTACTGGCTCCAATGCCACACAGACACTGCCTGCAATGCTGGTCACCCATGTGCATGGCTGTTGTAAAATGTGACTGTCACAAGAAGGCATTCAGTGAGATAAACATTCCTGTAGAGTGATCTGAAAGCCTGGTTGGAGATGCTGTGTTGTGCAGGCTAAACATCATGTGAATGTTGATGTTTGCATCTCACAGAGTTTACAATCCAAGACAGAGCCCTGCACCAGAATTAACTGCTGTGGTCTGTTCTAGATCTACTTGCTATGGTCTCATTGTTCATCTTTGAAAATGAGTCGTGTGTTTTAAAGCATCATAAACAAGCACATTTTTCCTTTTACCCAGACTTCACAACGAGATGTGAAGGCAAAGTCTTGTCTCTAAAATTCCATCATCCTGATCAGAAACCAGTCTTATGATACAAAGCCCAGATCCAACACTTTACCTCAGCTGCAACACAGGACAACACAACAGAGCCCTGCCGTGCTCCAGGCCCTTACCGTGTCGTAGTGATTCAACAGGAGCAGGGTGGAACATCACTACTGTTCTTCCTCAAACAGGGACATGCTCTTCTTTAAACTTAACGTAATGCAATACATAACATGCAGACATGCATTGGCAGCTGGGGAGCGACCCACAGTGGGTAAACTAATAATACACACATACATGGGATGGGCAGGGAGTAGGGAAATGGCTTTTGGCCCTGCACCAAGCTTCAGAAAATGCTGCATGCTGGTGGTGTTGGCTCTTGGGAAGAAGACAGCAGTTTTACAGCCATGAGGGTCAGGCCCTTTCTGGCTCAGCCATGTCCCTCAGCAGCCAGGCCGAGGCCATGCTGTCACCCATCAGTCATGCACACACAACTTCTTCCAAGTACAAAGGCACAGTTGCAAAAGCCTTGTTTTTCATCAGGCTGCTCCCAGGATTTATGGGCTGTCACCCATCTGGGCAAGCAGAGATGTTTACCTGCACCTGGTGTCAGCTGGGCTCAGTAACGCGATTACAACACTCCCACTGCTGCCCTGTCCTATCTCTCCTCTCCATCTCCAGCGATAGAAATAGAAAATAAACAAATACAGACTGAAAACACTACCCGGATCCAAACCATCTGAGGTGTGGGGCAAAAAGAACTCCTTGCGATCCTTTTTTCCCCTGCCACTACAGCTCTCAGTTCCATAAATGATCAGTCCTCCCCAAAGCCCGTAGTTCATTCAATCAGCTCCTTATTCCAGCCCCATCACCACACACATACACAGCGGCAACTACAGAGCCTTCCTGCCCCAAAGCCTGGTTAATATTTCAGCCCCGGCTCACCACGGCCCGTACTTTGAGCCGCGGGCAGCACGTTATTGGCGATCCTGGTGTTTGCAGGCTGGCTTCCACCAGCCTCCTCTCTGTTACACGAGAGAGCTCATGTCAATCGGAGCTCTTGATCTCCACCCACTTCAGTACAAATCCAGTTATGACTGCCATCAGTGTGACTTTGATTTCAGGACTCTTTGCAGGTGAGCCATGCTGCAGGCTCTGAGCTCAGCCGACGGGACAAAGGTCTTGTTTTCCTTGTAGTGAAAAGGTTCAGGGCCACGCTTCTGTTTTAAGTTTTCGATTATCCCAGTAAATCACGAGGAGTAGTAAAGTACATAGAACAGAGATTGCAGGCTGGTTAAGAATTATCGCCGAGGTAAAAAAAAAAAACAACAAAGAAAGCCAGCACAACAAACCTGCACCCAGTTTCCATAGCGCTGCCCCACATTCTGCACCTGCACAGCACCTGCAGCTTACAGAAAGTCTTGGAGCCCGCTCTGAAAGCAAGGCGGAGCCTGCCAGCTTCGCTGGGCACGTCTGCCCAAGGAGTAACTGAGTGACAGACAGCTCACCCTGCTCTCCTGACAGCTTCCTGCAGGTCCCTTAGCATTCAAAGTAAAGAGAATCAGGTGAGGTACCAAAGTCCAGTGTCACTTCATTCCTCCTGCACAACAAAAATAATAAAGGCAAGGGAAAGTGTTTGCCATAGCCAGTGTAAAGAGCAGTTGTTGTGAACACAGCCATGGAAGGACTCCCATGCTGAACCCAAGCTGCCTCTCAGAAGGGTTTGCAAATTTTTTTGCAAGTCTAGGGATGAGGAAAAATCCCATTTTGCACAGAATTGAAGCCCTGCCTGACAGTCATCTGCACTGCTCCACTTTCTACATAGGCCAGGCTCCATCGCAGCTCTGGCTCTGCTCAAGATTCTCAAACACATTGTTCTGTCTCTAGCTGTCAGATTCACAGACCTACGTGCAGATTTCCCCTAGCTGGCAAAAGTCACGGGGATGTAGAGGCAAAATATGAACCCTGCCATCTCTGTGATGGTTTGGAGAACAGCAAATTATCTTCCCCCTGCCCTGCCAGCATCCCTTCCTCTGTGCATTTGTGCAAGCACGGGCACATTTCCTGCAGTCTTTGGGCAGCAGATACATCTGTGCTTTGTTGCTTTACTTGATCAAAGGCAGATTACGCTGCTATCACCGGAACTGTTAAGATTTACACGTGGGCTTTTAAGATACCACTTTTTAAAGATCAAAACCTGATGTTTCCCAAGGAAGTGAGTTCAGACAAACCACAGAGCTCTGGAGTGTGTTTTCCTTAGTCATAGCTGAAAGGTTTGTCTCTTTTCCAGGGCTTTCCCAACAACAGTAGGTCTCCCTTGCGAATGAGGGCCAGGCCAAAGCAAGGATGAAAGGCAGATCTGTGGGAAGCAGAGGGTCTGAAGACAAGTTCCCTCTGGGCTGAGCAAGCATCATGAAGCAGCCAGTGAGGTCACGTTTCCTGCCTAGGCAGAGTCACAAGCGAGTCACTCCTGAGGCAGATGCAGAGTCTGAGTAACAGTGAGCTGCACTGCCCACCTCGCTTGGTCAGTCCCAAGGGAGGAAATCTGAGCCTATCACTGCTGTTGAAAGGAGATTCCTCACAACTGAAATACCTGTCACATATAGCTATAAACAGGAGAGAAAATGATGCATGCCCACCACTGGCCGCCATGGATACTGCTCAGTGCACCGCATCTGGAGAATCTCTCCTATGAAGAAAGGCTGAGGCAGCTGGTCTGGCTCAATCTGGAGAAGAGAAGGCTCTGAGGGGGGAAGGGGAACCTCATTATGTCCTTCCAATACCCGAAGACGACTTATAAACAAGAGGACTGACTTTTACATTGGCAAACAGTGATAGGACAAGAGGGAACGGTTTTAAAATAAGAGGGGAGATTTAGATTGTATTTAGGCAGAAATTCTTCGCATAGAGGCCAATGAGGTGCTGGCACAGCTGCCATGTAAGCTGTGGTGCCCCATCCTTGGAGGCACTCAAGGCCAGCTTGGATGGGGCCCTGGGCAGCTGAGCTGCTGGGAGGCAGTGCTGCCCACAGCACGGGATGAGACCAGGTGGGCATGAGGTCCGTTCCAGCACAAGATATTCTATAATTCTATGACCTAAGAGAGCATGGAGAATGGCACTGGCTGTGAGGGTGACTGGGCCCTTCCCCTCTGCCCCAAGGTTTCCCAAACACAGCAGGAGTGAAGCAAAGCCAGGTGGTGTCTCCTAAAGATTCAGCACATATCTATCATGCCACTGACCAGGCAAGGAAAGAAGCCTTCCACATCATTCCTCCAGAAGGTTAGGGACAGTCACTGGGCCCAGGCAGCCAATGTGGGAACAAGTGCCAGCAGTCAAGGAGATGGCACTGTCTGAAGCTGCTTGTGTAGGGACAAATGAGTCAAGGTGGTAGCTTTACTGCAGACAGTACACGCAGATGTGAACCTATAAACCAACCGGAAATATTTCCAGGAGGTTTTTCCATGTATCTCCAGCTAAGGAAGAAAAACTTTTGAGGAAGCCTTTGCAGAAAGTTGGCAGCATTTCACTGAAAATACCTCAGCTGAACGCAAGCCAGCTGCACTGAACATGAAGAATGAGTTACAGCAGCAAGCGCCTAACTAGTGTTTAATGTGATAACCTGAATTCACCTCTTGTTTGAGGTTGGCAGGGGAAGGCCTTTGCATGGGTAGTCCATCAAAACAGTGTGCTGCAACCAGAAAGGCCAAAACTGAAGTCAGCCCCTGAAAACAGGGTTTTTAGAAATACCTCTGAGTTTTATTACTCACTGCTCCTCTTTTAGGTTCATCTCTGTCACAGCACAGAAAGCAGAAGCTAGGAAAAAAATCTCGCTACACAGGGAAGATGTGCTTACTCTCATGACCAGAAGCTGGTCTATTTGCATCAGAGCAAGATTTGTTGTTGTGGTTAGTTTAGTGGGGTAGCAAGGATCTTTTCCAACAGCATAAAACCAGACAAAATAATCTCTCACCTAGTTAAAGGGGCTACGTGCAGCATGATGTAAGCACTCAGCAGTCTAACAGGCAGAGAGAAGATAGAGGGAGAGTTCAAACAAGGAATGATACCACAAGCCCAGAAGGAAACAAAGTAAGACATTGAGCACAAGGTCATGCAATCAGAACATTGCAGGCTGGAAAAGGAAGTGAAATTACAGGCTCTGGCAAAACAACTGAATGCTTACTCGCTTGAATTACAAAACTCTTGTGATCTTCACCATCAGTTCTGTGTCTGGGATCCAGACCTATTTCCAAGGCAAGCTATACAGATGGAAGGTGGTGGATATGACATTCTTCCCACAACCAGTCAAGTGATTTTTGTAGTCAGGGGTCTCACAATTGGGAGTTATTTACTTAATAATGACAGAGACTAACATTGTCCTAAAGTAGCTGAACCCTTCCAACCCATGAAATGCCACTGACAAAGAAGCTTGGGTAAAATACACCAACAGGGCTGTGTTTATCCAGCAGCACAGCAAAAATACTGAGGGGAAAAGACTCAGGGAAGCCATGAAAAACATAAGTTTGTGCTGCAAAACCCACAGCACCAGGGCTGAGCTGCTCTCTCTGCCAAACAATTTGACAGAAGTTGACAACATAATACTTGCAGTTCGTAAATGCACAAGTGAGAATTCTTCCTTATGAGGCTGATGCCACTGCACATTTTCAGGCAGGGGAAGCAGCCCCTGCCTTGCTCTGTGGTCCAAAGGAAGCTGCCCAAACACAATCAGGGACAGAAAACTGCCAGCTGTCCAGCTGCACACAGTCAGCCCATGCTCACAAGCCACCACTTGCCTTCCTTTAAATCAGCATTTCAAAGTGCTGCTACCTGTGTGCACATCTGTAGGTTCGTTACGCATTTATGTAAGCAGCTGAAAGTACAACACTGGCATGAATTCCAGCCAAAACCATGCTATCCAGTGAAACAGGGATGAGCTGGGAGGTGGTTGTGACCAACTCATATCTCACCAGCTGTGGGAGCTGGGGTTAACATCACACATTGCAGCACTGCCCAGGGGTGTGCGGTTACTTTGCTGTGGGGAGCTGCCCCAGGCTGCAATCTGTGCAGCCTCGTGAGATCTGCCAGTGGTAGTCACAGACCCCATTCCTCAGAGCCAAGAGAGCTTCAGGAATGTGAACTGTAGAGCAAGGGAAGCCACAGAGGGAAAGGTGAGCAAAACTGCTAAGTGCATGCCATGGCTGTGAGCTGTCGGCAGAGATGGGTGCAAAACTTGGACACAGAAGACAGTCTGAATTTTGACTCTGTAGTGTAGCCAGGTCTGCTTCTTGCGACTGTGTTCGAACTCATTGCCATGGCAGGCAGCAGAGCAGACGCCAAACGGCACACAGCACATGTGGATGCAATTACTACGTCTGGAATAGCAACAGCTCAAAGTGACGCTTTGCTAGAGTGAGTGGCTCATCTAAGCTCTTTTCCTTTAGTCTGAACACTGGAGCTCACAGAGAAGAGCCGGCTAACACAGGGAAACGGGACAGACGTAAGGTCTCTGGCAGCTGCTGAACAAGACTTAAAAAAAGTCGTGTCCTGAGCAGCAAACAAGAGCTGTGTCTGCGCCAATAATCCCTACTTGGCAAAAGGCACAGGGAAAGTTGACAAATGCAATATGCCAAGAAGAGGAAGAAAAAAACAGAAAACCCAAATGAGCTTTAAAAGAGTTAGGAAGTAGTGCGGGAGCAGCTCTCAAGTGCTAACAAGAAAAACGGCTGGAAAAAACACACCTTGACATGCACCACTGCAAATGCCCCAGCTGTTCGAGTGCATTACAGACGCTGACCTCATGGCAAAAGCCAGTAAATGTGTGGGATGCCACATCCCCCCAGCATCCCATGGGATGCCCCCTCCCATGCACTCACACACACAGTTGCCAGTCCCAAGATCCCGTCCCTATTGTAATTATCCTTGCTTTGCACTGGGATTTATCATGTGCAGCTGCCACAAGTTGTTTACAAGACACAACTGCCATGAAAACACGTCTGCTGGCGAACTGTCTCATATTTGTTGCTCCTCCTGGGTCACTCGGGCTCTGGCCAGCAGCACGCTCTCCGTATGGCACGGCACGGCACAGCACTGCTGGTCCTGCATTAGCAGCCAATCCCAGTTGGTGCATGCAGGCAGAGCTTGGGTTTTGACAGCTGCCTCACAATTAGGTTTGTCGCTGCAGCAAGAGCAGCAAAATGTTGTCTCGTTGTTTCTTTTCACTGCTTTCTTCTTTTTTTCCTATTCTACAGCCAAACAAGCTTCCAGAAATAAACTTTCCCTTTGTTCTCACAGGGATGAGTTGCTGGCAGGAACAGCCTTGCACTTGTTAGTCATTGGGACTCTTCCTCATTCTGGACCCTAGTTCCGTTTGATGCCCGAAATGTATCTTTGATAATTTTATCTGGAGTTAACTACAAGTTTTTGCTCTGAAAGAATAGATTAGGGCAAACTTTAGCAGTCGGAACCAAAGTGTCACTAAGCAGAAACTGCCTTTGATTTTATTGTAGTGGATACTCAGTGAGTCATTTTCATTCCTCCAAGTAAACTAACACCTGCAGAGAGGGGAAAGCCATTCCACTATGCACCAGGTGTTACTCCTTCGGCTTATGGCTGCAGTTGAACTTCTAGGTGTAGCCTTAACCCAAATAATAATTAAAAAAAAAAAACAACAACAACAACAACAACCAATAATCAGCCTCAAGCAAAATTGGTCACAAGTAAAGTCTCATGGATAGGTGTCAGCATGATGGAAACGCAGTGCTCATCACAAGGGCAGGGCACTGGTTGTTAGGCCAGTGTCACCTTGTGTGGCAGAGCGGCAAATGGCAACAGCAGAGACCACAGGCTTTTACTTTCAATGGAAACTGTTAACCTGAATGACAAGTTTTCTTCCTCCTCCTCCTCTCTTCGTTTAATTACTGCAGATGCTCTGGCGGAATTACAGAACTGATCAGCTCAGCAAGCAAAACTTTTTTTTCCTAAACTTGTTGACATTTTTTTTTATTTTAAGGGCAGATTAATGGAGAGTAAGGATCTGAGAGTACCCTTTGATGATACGATCCCCTACATTTTCTCTACCACTCAGCACACTGGCAACCTTCTTTGAAAAAAAAAAAAAGAATAAGGAAAAAGTCCAACTACTCAAACAAGGAAAAAACATTTGCCTGAGATGGTTTTTTCTTGGGCAGCACCTGAAGTACAGGCATAAGGAATGTTGCAATAGAACACTTATGTGGATAAGAAAGTATCTTATGAACCTCTTAGCAAAGACAAGACTTCTTTCTGGGTGCCTAGCATCCGTTGAGAGCAAACATCTATGCCACAAAGGGATTTTCTTCAACTTCCCCCTCTTTTTGCTCAACATTGACCTCATTCATACACAAAAGCCTATTCCAAGTAGATCATAGAAACAGAATCATACAATGGCCTGTGTTGAAAAGGACCACAGTGATCATCTAGTTTCAACTCCTCCACCATATGCAGGGTTGCCAACCACCAGACCAGGCTGCCGAGAGCCACATCCAGCCTGGCCTTGAATGCATCCAGAGATGGGGCATCCACAACCTCCTTGGGCAACCTGTTCCAGTGCGTCACCATCCTCTGAGTGAAGAACTTCCTTCTAAATAGGTTAAAAAAAAGTGCCAAGGTATCCCAAAGGAAAATAGCCTAGGAGCATGAAGAATAGTATGTCCAGACAAAGGGACAGTACTCAAGTCTCTTTTCTAGACTTGTATGCTATTACTTGAAGATAAAACCCACAGCCACACCTGGCTATGCTCAGAACAATTTTATTGGTAGCTTTATTTCAGCTAAAAATGTATTGTAAAAATTAAAAACCTGATTCTATAATCGCACAGCATATGAGGACAACCCTGCATTGTTTCTATTGTTACCAAAGCTGATGCTCACATAAGCAAGCTCCTATGATTTTTTTTTTTCCTTGAGCGTATTAACACTGACTTTAAAGGTTTAAAGAAGTCCTACACCAAGCAAAATTTCAAAGAGTACTCCAGAGAACAAACAGCTTTCTGTTGCCTACAAAAAGAAAAACCACAAGGAAAAAGAGAAAAAAAACAAAACAGCACACACTGTGCCTACTCCTAAGAATACTCTTACATCTGCCTGCCCTCCTGCTCCACAAAACCCTCCCCCAATCACCAAGCAGACAACTGGTTTAAGGATTAGCCAGAACTGATTTTTCTCCCTGAGGGTCTCCTGTTTCACTGTTGTTAGAAAGATGAGGGTGGGTGACAGACATCCAAAAAAGTTGAAATGTGAGCTGCAACTTTGTGTTTTTTAGTAGTAATTCATTCTGACAGCCAGAGTCCTCCTCTGAAAAGTAACTTTTGAGAAAATTCCACTGGCCAGAATACACACAAATACAGCAGAGATCTCTTCTATATCTTTGTCACCTATCCCTTTGGTGTTTAAAGTATCACAAATAATCTGGCTCCCAAAACACAGCTTTCAACCTGACACTCTCCTATTTCACAGTCTACTGGATTTAGAGCCAAAATCTTACCATTGCTAGCCCAAGAAAATCAGAAGTTGTGTTGCCCTTCCTGACCCCATCAAAATTAGTCTTTAAAGACGTCTAGAAGCTGTACCACAATGACTTACAAAGAAATATTCACCCCAACCCTTTTCTGGCCTCTTTGTTTCATCCTCAGAAAAACCTCCCCATGGCCCCCTACTCTAAGCCCTAAGGTATTTCTAGGAGCCAGAATACTCCAGCTCTGAGAGGGGCCTAAGACACCCCTCCCGAAACTTAATGCAAGCTGACTACACTGCTCTCTTTGGCCTCTTTGAAAAGGTCAACACAGCAGAACACAGTCAGGTACTTCAGGTCCACTTTTCAGCATTCCTTTGAACATCTGGTTAACAACAGCTGCTAGTGCAGCTCTCTAAACCAAACAAAGCCAGTATTAGGTCAAAAATATTTCTCTCACTCCAGTGTATTTTGAGAGTAAAGCTGTGTTTTCTGAAAAGTTTGTATGCAACAAAATACTCCTCATGCATCCATTTTTAAAGAAAATATTTTATTACATTGTGGGAAAAAAAGCATAATCATCCAAAGTTCATATTGTTAAAAAAATTGAAAATTTATTTTAGACAGCGTGTCGGTATATTCTGTTCCACATGGGAATGATAAGAAGACTCTATATCATTACTAGATATTGCACAGTCTGATAGAAAAAAAAACAAATCACATGATCTTGGGAACCATATCACATTATGAAAAACCTACAAAGAAAATATTAAAAAAAAAAACAACAAAAAAACCAACAACAACAAAAAAAAAAACACACAATCCTTTCTTTCTACAGTAGCTTTAAAGTTTATAATTCTTGGAATGACCATATTCCACTGAAGACCATCTCAGTGACAGGAAGCTTCATTTCAGCAATCCCTTGTGCAAATAAGATTAATAAAAAAAAAAATAATAATAATGCAGTTAAGTCTTTTGATATTGTGTGGGTGGCAATAACCACACAGCTGTTAGATCCCTGCCTGGAAAAAAAAAAACAAAACCCAAACAACCAAAATGGGGAAAGAGAAGGAAGGGGATTTAGGCCATGAGTTTTGCCTGCAACTCCATCTCTGCCGCCCTTTTGAGTGCAACATCCACCAGTAGCTGGAATCCACTAAAATCCTGGTTGAGGTCTGGTGGGGTTGGAGGAGGAGTGTTAAAGAGCCCGCTTTGCGCATTCGCACCAGGTCCCAGTTTAGAGGCATCCTCGTGGTAGGAGAGGGAGCTGTCTGTGAAGGCGTTGGCCGGGGGCTGCTGCAGGTCCGTGGTCTGGCCCACATCAGCTGGCTGACAAAAATGGAAAGGGGCATCTTTCAACGCAGTCACAGTCGTGTGGCAAATCACCGAGGGCCGAGCCAGGACAGACCCCGGGGACACAGGCTTGGAAGAGGACACAGTCTTGCTGAGCGTGGCAGAGGTGGGAAGGAAGGGGCTCTCCTCCAGCAAGGGAAGGAAGTTCTTTGTGCCCATGGAGGACTCCATCATGCTGCCTTCAGGAAGCTTGGTCCCCCGCCGTGAGATGGTGAACTGGTTTGGGTCTTTGCCGTCCTTCCTCAGCATATCAGGTAAGAGCCTGCGGCGCGCGTTGATAAACCAATTGCAGACCTGAGAATACAACAAGATCTTAATTTCTACCTTCGTTCACTTCCAACTATGTGCCATTAGAGTCGTTGGGTTAGATTGATGACTCCCTCCAAGCAGTTTCCTTAATCGAACAAAAGAGACTCCAGGACAAGCTCTGACAAGCCTGGCTAAGGCCTTTTCCCTTGTCCTCTCTCTGCCCCCAGCTCCTGCTCCTTCTACAGAAAGCCCCAGGACATCTGAAGTCGGCCAGCCTGAGCCCAGAGGTTTAGCTTTTAACCCTGTGCACACACATTAATCTATTAGCCATTGTTCCCTGTGCTTAGGTTAATTAACAACAGGAAAACCTTTTCTCTCTGAAGAGGGCCACTCCTCCCACAAATAGTTACTGATTTTCCTTGTTCAACTGACTGTGTCGACAGACATAACATGAATTACCTCACTTAAGTTTGTCCTTGTTTAAATATCAAACCAGTTTCCTGGACAATACACGATAGTTTATAGTTTAACGTCTTTTTTTTTTTTTTTTCTTTACGTTTACTACATGAAGAAGGTTTTCTTTACAGTGTTACACAAAGAGAATTCTACTTTACAGCCAATTGTGGATTTTATACTAACGAATCAATCAGGGAAGAAAAAAAAAGCCCAGAAGCCAACAGGAACACTATATTTAGCATCTCTCAAAACCAGGTTTTGCATAAGCTTTCCTGCAGCCACCTTCCATCAAGTGGGAATAAGCAATTGCTCACAGTTCTCCCACCAAAGATGATCAAGAAAGGTAAGAATGACGAGACCAGGGAGACCTTGCAGCTGCTACTGGGTGGGAATCCAAAACTAGCCACATAAAAGCCTGATCACACCCATGCTAATGCACTTGAGTAGCTCTATCTATATCTATCAGTTGTTTCACTGATCTTAATGGAACTCGCCGTACACATAATTATAGATGTTCACGTTCTATGGGAATGGGCCTCAAGTTGCAGTTTTAGAGGCAGTTATATGCTCAGCTCTGCATCTATCACCATAAAGCTTCTGTTGACAAATGAATCCTTTCTCCTCACAATAAATTACCTCATACTGATACTTTATGTCTTTTGGGCCCCAATTCTGCAAAAAATTAGCATGCATGTTCAAATTCACAACTGTCTGTTCTCTTGAATATGTCATTTTATTCCCAGTAAACAAAGATCATCATCATAACACACCACTCATCTGAATTTTCCTTTAAAGCTGCCATCAGAAATGGAATAAGTAATGATTAAAAAAAGAAAAACAGGAAAGGAAAAAAAAAGCAAAAACATCACATGCAGTGCAAACATTACATCAGTGACTAGACTACAGGTAAATTAAGAAGAAATCAGAAAACAGTTCCTTTAAACTAAACAAAAAGAACTGCTTTATTTGCATACCTGTAGTGTGGAAAGGTGTGTTTGCCGGGATAACAGCACTTTTTCTTGCTCTGAAGGATAAGCATTGTATCGGTGCTCATAAAGCCAGTCCCGAAGAATCTGCACAGACTCTTTGGGTAGGTTGCCACGTCTCCTCCGTTTGCCCGAGCCAGCAGATGAGGAAAGATCCAGTGGGACATCCATAGTGTCATCATCTTCTGTTTCACTGCCTGATATTGCAACTACACCTGCAATTACAAGAGGACAAGTACAATCAGCCTCCCACCTCAGGAAACTACTTAGCTCCAGCACTCCATGGTTCAGACTTGTTTTATAGTAAGCACTTTTACCATGAATGTGGCACAGCCTGCTTTATGGGGGATTTGTCCTGTAACTGGTCAAGCTGCAGCTTTACTGTCAGTTGAACACAAAGTAGCACCAATGAGCTGTTCCTAAGGGAATTCTCTGTAAACCCTCATTTTTCGTTCCCCTAACAACCTTTTATCTACTGCTTGTTATCAGATAGCTTCTATCTAATGCCAATATTGGCCCAATTTGCTTGCCATGGTATGTATGCATTCAGCACTCTTCAAGGATAACCAGGGGCTGGGCAAAGAGCCAATAGACAAGAACTGAGAAGCCATATACCCAACTCCAGCAATGGGTTACTTAATTACCCCTTAAAATGCTGATGCTTCCCTCATGAGAGAGATAGCTTGTAGATTTTTATAAATTAATAGTTCATCTTGGATCTACAGAGAAAGAAAAGAAAAAAGGGAAAACTGTGCCTGCCTTCACTCTCAAGTGGACATTTACTTAGTAAAAGGTGCAGGATAAGGTAAGAACCAGGTGCCTTACTCGTGTATATCAGCATGATAGGTGATAGACTTCTAAAATGTAATTGCATTTCAGTATTAGAGAATCATTAGAATCATTTAAAAAACACAATTAATTGTCCTTTTCTATATACCACACTACTTGATGCTATGTTAGGTAAATAAAAATAAATAAAGATTTAATAGTCAACAACTAGGAAGGCTACAATTTCCTGCTTCTGTAGAATATACAAGGCACTGAGGAAGCAAACTACTATAACATAACACAGTACTAATTTCAAGTGAAAACATACTGACTTGCAGAAGTGTCTTCTAGAAAAAAAAAAAAAGTCAAGAAAAAGAAGCCCATAAACTCTTCCCATGAACATGAAATTTGTATGTCATGTTGGGGGTGGGGGAAAGAAAAAGGAACTTGCTCATTTATGACATCAAAATTAAAAACATGAACAGTAAAAGCCAAGTTAAATGTCAGAAGTAAAAAAAAAAAAAAAAAAAAAATTATGTGGGCTACTACCCATAATTCAAAGATTCTGTTTAAGGAAAGAGTTAGCCCTGAAATTTAATACATGTGCATGTGAAAGCATAAACTATATAAAGCAATAAGAAAAAAAGAAAAGGGTGTGCGCAACTGTTGCTCATTACTTCCCAGAGCATGTGGAGCGTAGGATTTCCCCCCATACCTTCAAACCGTAGCCAAAGCTGATACTGCAAATCGTTCTCTTTCTTCCTCTTATTTATGAGAAGCTTCAATATCCTTAAATTCAGTTTAAGTTGCTCAGATCTCAATGCATATTTTTGAGACGCAAGCATTCCCAGGAGAACCATCAATCTGCAAAGTGTCTGGCATCGTTACTTCAGTAATTCACTTAGTATTGTTTTCCTTCTCTAAACTGCTGATTTATGGAACCGTCAAACACCCAACTGACATACCAAACTTTTCCTGGGATGATTTGCCACATAAATTATCCAGTCATGGCACAAGAACAATAGGATAATATTTAAATGGCCTATAAGAGATAAATCCCAAATTATGTAAACAAGTTCTTAACTCATGTAGAAAGTATGTCAAGTTTGCTTTAAAATGATTCTGAGCAATCGCTTCTCTATTTGTAATAGCTTCATGCAAAGTGCTGTCATGCTTGCAATCTAACCTGAGAACATGTCTTGCACAATGGGGTCCTCTGGAGCCATAAGTAGCAGTTCTTGGAACAAAGATCATGCACAGACAGCATGATGGCTCTGCAAAGCAACTCACACCTCCCAAACTGAATTTAAAAACTAGCTAAAACTAGTCTTCATTATTCAGACAATGTTTTCAAGTGTGCTGCCCTTGTTTGTCAGAAACTAGAAGTCTTGAAGCACTTCAGTGGGTTGGGTTTTTTGTTTGTTTTTAAATGTAATAGGCAAGACAGGACTCTGGAAAACAGGGAGAGGCAAACAGTGAAAGCTGGAAATAAGGAGTCAAAGAAACTACTCCTGTGAGAAAATTAGGTGTCTAACAGTCTGTGAGCCATATTTAAATGGAATAACACAAGTCCTCCAGACACACCACCGCCCCACTTGGCCTAACTTCCCCAGGACCTAGTAATACAGCTGAAGCACTCCACCGGAGCCTCTGAATTTGAGAAAACTGCCTCGGCAGCAAAACTTGTTTCAAAACTGTTGCTCTTTTTCACCTGGGAAAAAAAATATATATATATATATATATATGCGGCAAAACACTAAAAGCCAGCAGTGTGAAAACGCTTCTGTGTTTTGCAAACCCGTTCTTCTGCCATGGCACTTCTGAAGTAAAAGTTGCCGTCTGACTAACCACAGCCTACCTAGCAAGGAATGAGTCAACGCGGAGCCTGCCCTTTGGCCGGCTCGCTCGGCGTGTCATATGAATTGACAGAGCAAGTCAGTGACACAGAGCAGGTCAGGGTGAGCAGGAAACCCAGTGTGTTACAACTTCTCCTCATTTAAATGAGCTCATTTAAATAGAGCAGCAGCCCTCTGAACTTTGCGCAGATAGCTCCGCTCGGCGCGGCGACAGGAAGTCCTGGCGAGAAATCTCGCACGGCCCCAGCTGATATTTTTTACTAGAGCGGGAGCCACGTTGTTGCTGTCAAGGCTCTGTTTTCATTAAAGCATTCTTGCTGATTACAACCCAGCTTTGTTTTGCCTTCTTGTTAGTAATCAGGCTATTCGCTGCTGGTTTCCTGTTTTAACAGGGCCAAACTGAAAAGGTTTCTGGCCGGGATCCACTGCCAGACCGTTGGCTTACTGCTATTTACACCCCGAATAAAGACTAGTGGACATGCCGAGCAGCCCCAGCTGACCCACTAATTCATTCCATCTTAAAAACAAGCCAGTGTCAGGTTACTTTCTGCCTTCTCTCCAACACGTTCAACTAAACAGAAACGCTGCTTTCACATGACTAAGCCAAAGCAGCCTGGGCATGCCGGCAGAGGGCTGGGGACGAGCCCAACACCCCAGGGCTCCATCCCCACCACCACCCCACAGATGAGCAGTACGTGTCCACCAAGGGGCTTCAGCAACAGGCTAAGGGCTGCACGACCACCATCTCTTCTTATCACATTACTTTATCCTCCCAGCTCCCCAGTTGCAGCCATATATATAGCTGGTTGGATACTGAATGCTGTCAGGGCCCTGAGACGCCTGGAAACAGCAGAGCAGACTGCTTCCAGGGATAACCCTGGGCTCAGCACCTAATCGCCAACAGCTCTGATACACAACTTGAGAAGAACAGCGATAACTAAAGCTGATTTCAGAATGGACCACTGCTCCTTAAGAAGGCACGTCGAAACACTCGAGGGGGAGGACGAAGTATTCGAAAGATGAAGCGGGAGTTAAGCAAATTCGAGCTATTAGGAAAAAAAAACATCACCGTCCCATTGTGTCGAGGAAGAGCTTCGCAGAGGAAGTGGCACAGGCCAATTGTTATTCAAAACAGGACAAAGTTACCACAAGAAACAATCTCTGCCCTCCAGAGAGGCAGCAGACAAAACAATCACCTTCTGGAAAGCCTCCCACCCCACCCGGCGGGGTTGAGCGAATTTAAACGGGATTGTTATGAGGGCAGATAAACAGGACGGGTCCCATCTACGGCTTCGGTCCTGTCGTAACCAAGCTCGGTAGGATTCCTCACATGTATCAACTTGAGCACATGCCTGGCTCTTCGCAAGAGTGTATTCGAAAGGTAATTAACTAACCGAGTATGTTCCGTGTGATCGCTATCAGCTTATTATTTGCAAATGAAACCATCCACCGAGCAGTCCTCGGGGTAGTCCGATAGCGAAAAGGGAAAGAAAAAAAAAACAAAAACAAAAAACAAAAAGGAAAAAAAGGAAAAAAAGGAAGCTAACTAAAGTTTAATGTGAATTTAAAAGCCAACAACAAAAATAAATCAACTTAAAATTATTCAGAAGTAACCACGAACTGCATGAGGGATGTACGAGGGAATTTCCACTGTAAAAAAAAAAAAAAGAAAAAACAAAAAACTTTTCCTTTGAGTACGTTTCATAATTGAGGAACCAGCTCGTTTGCTTCCCTTCGCGTTTCACAGCTTGAGCTCCGCCGCTCTTAAAGCAGCCACACTTGGCTACGCTGTACGTTTGTTTTCCTTCTTTAAACGGGACTTCTCTAGGGCTGAGAGCAAGAAATCCGAAACAAAGTCATTCTTTGAAACTTCTGAGCGAGGTTCCGACGCCGGGCGGCCCCTGGCAGAACACAACAAAGGCCCCATCCCCAACACTTCGTACAGCCCCGTCCCTCTCCCCTCCTCCCGCTCGGTGCCAGCAGAGCCCCCGGCCCCTTTGCGGAGCTGCCCCTCCGGCACGTCACCTCCCATTGTCCCCATTGTTCCAGCCCACAACTTCCAGCCCTCGGAGCGGCTCGCTCGCACAAAGACCTACACATGCATACCTAGAAACGACGTCAGCACTTTTCACACGCATTTATTTCGGGGGGTGGCAAGAACAACAGTCGAAAGTGTGGGGAGTTTGGTATTTCGGCAACCAGCAGCTGCCCTCGGGGAGAGGTCTGAACAATGGAAGCAACAGCAGACAGGAAACCAGCTCACCACTGCTGTGCAAATAGGGAGCATAGGAATGTCCTAAAAATAACCGGGCTAAATTAATTCAGCGAAATCATACAGGAGAAAAACACACCGTGCCTAAAACGAGGGGACGAATCGCAGCCTACCTCAGGGCTGCGACATGAGGAGTCAGCGCCGTGCCCTCAAATCACTGCACAGGGGAGTGAAGGGGGGGGGGAAGGAGGTCGAGGGCTGCGAACCGCCGAAACTTGGTTCTTTGTGCCCCGGGTCCCTTTGTGCTCGGCTGCCCGCACAGCCCGAGACGACTGCACGGCCCAGGGGCGCCGAGCGGAGCTGCTCCGCCGCCGCCTCACAACGGCAGGGACGCGCAAGTTGGGAACTTCTTGCGCGCGGCTCCGGCCGCGCTCTGATTTAAAGCACTTACAAGCACGGCCGCCAGCTGAAAGTTTGCAGTCTGTACACCCACACACAAAGAAAACCCGCTGCGGCGGGAGGGTGGGGGGGGAAGCAGTCTTCCTTCTCCTTTTAACCCTAAGCGCAGGGAAACTTTCCGACTCTTCTCCTCTTTTCAGAACTACGAGGGCAGGGGAAAGCGGCAGTTTAGCAGCGATCGCGTTCCGGTCCCCGCGCCGCAGACAAAGAGCGGGGCTGCGCGCCGACCTCGCACCGGGGCAGCGGGACGGGGAGGGCGGACAGCGACCGCCGAGCAACGGCCGCTTGCGGCGCCAACGGCCACTGCGGCCCTGCGGGGAACGCGGGCGGGAAGAGCGCGCCGCCTTCGCTGTCACGCCGCATCCGAGCGGCGCCCCGCACGTACCTTTTTTACTTTTCATCGTGTCGGCGACGACCGCCGCGCTCCGGGAGGCGAAGCGGGACGCTGCTCCCCGGATTCTCAACTCGGCGACGAGGAGGAGGACGGCGAAGAAGAGCGGCTAGGCGGCCGGCCCGGGGCCGCGTTGCTGTCAGGGAGCCGCGGGATTCCGCCTCCCTGGGGGCTTTCCGACGGCCGCGGGCTCGCTTCGCCTTTGTTCCTTCCTCGTGGAAGTGGGAGAAAGCACGGGAGGGAAAGGTGCGCGCGGCCGCCCTCCCCCTTCCCGCAGTGACTGAGACAGAGTCACCCGGAGCTACGCTCGCACTCGCGGCGCTGCCTCCTCCCTCCTCCCGCCGCCTCTCCCCTCCCCTCCCCTCCCAGGCGCGGCGAGAGGGAGGGAGGGCCGGGGGGCACGCTGCTGCTGCTCCTGCACACACACACACACACACACACACACACACTCACTCACTCGGCAGCCCGCCCGCCTTTCTTCCAGACAGGCAAGCAGGCGTTTGTTTGATCGTTAAACTGGAAGGAGAAGGGGCCGAGCGAAAGGGGGGAGGTTTTGACAGCTGCCCTTGACTCGCCTCCTCCTGTTGCTGCCGGATGAACCACCCACTCCTCCGCCGAGAAGAAAGGAGAGTGTGTGCGGAGCCCTCCGAGGAGCCCCACACCCCGCCCGGCTCCGCAGTGCCCCTCCGGTGTCACCGCCGCCCCCCTCCCAGGGCAGGCGCGTCCTTTTCGGGGTTATTTTTACACCGGGCTGTTCCCCCCCCCTCGCCCCTCGGTGGATGTTGCTGTGACACACGCTTGTAGAGAGAGAAAAAGTCTCTCGGCTTGACTCATCCCTCTCGGGCAAGCACGTGGTGCAGCAACAGTTTATTTTCCTCCCGAGATGAGACAAACGCGACCCGCCAGCGGCTCCGCTTCGCTCTCCCGGTGCCCGGGGCTGCCCGCAGAACCGAGGGGGGGAAGGAAAGGGATGGGGGACGGTTCGCGCGTGGAGAGCCACGCGCTGCTCAGCGCTGCACTACCGCGTGTGTTTGTTGTACTGCTGCAGGGCCACGTGCTGCGGGGCAGCGCTGCTGGCGGCTGATGAAATCACGGAGTCCTACGGCAAAACAGCGCTCCTTCCCCCCCTTTCTCCTCCCCTCCGCCTCCTGGCTTGTACGTCCACAAAGACGAGCATTCACCTCCGAGCGGGAAGCAGCCGCGTTTCAACAGCAAACCCTCCCAAGCACCTCGTAACTATTTTTACATAGCGTCATTACAGCGACCTTGCCGGAGATAAAACAGCTGTTACATCCTGCGCGAGGGACGCACGCGGCGGGCGGCTGTTGAGCAATTCCGGCCAACGAGGCCGCTTCTCCGCCGCCCGCGGGGCTGCGTGGCCCGCGGCTGTGCCTGGCGGGAGGAGAGAAAGGGGGGAGCGCTGACTGAGCGGCGGCGGTGCGAGCCGGGCCGTTACCCGCCCAACCGCCCGCCCTGAGTACCCGCGCCCCGCAGCCTGCTCCCGCCGCTCCCCTGCCACCGCTTGTGTTTTTGTTTCTCTCTTTTTTTTTTTTTCTCTTAAAGTCCGACTCCCCAGCTGTGAGAGCTGACTCTTCAAACCGGCGCTTTCAGCGTCCACGCTTGGTCGTGCCAAAAAAGTAACGACGGGAAGTGAACAAAAGATATGTCAAGGATCCCAGGAGATGCCCGCGTAGCTCGCTGTCCCTGGGGCTGCTGACGAGTGGTGAACCAAACTCTTCCCTTTTTCTTCTGTCGTCTTTAGGAGGGGAAAAATAATGCTTTCCTCTCGCACCGAGCTGAAGCTTGTTTTTAATAGTGTTAGTTAATACTCCTAACTGCTGGAATTTTCTCCAAAGGCAAAATTGATTTTTGACTTAGCATATGGCAGCTTATGAAGCAGATAGGCTGTAAAGACTAGGAGGGTCGGGCTGCTAGTAGTAGAACGCAGCAGAGCACTGAGCACTCATTCCTAGCTCCATTCCAGGTACAACGTACCCAGAGAGGCTTTTTTTTTCTTCTTTTTTTTTCTTTTTTTTTTCTTTTTTTTTTTTTCTTTTTTTTTCTTTTTTTTTCTTTTTTTTCTTTTTTTTCTTTTTCTTTTTTCTAACTTGCTCTGCAGATGTAAGTGTTGAGAGAGTGTGCCCGTATCTGGAGCTGCAGGGAGAGACAGATAGTGTCCAGGGCACTGTGCAGTTTGCAGCCCCCAGGACAAGGTTGGAGCAGTGGCTGGGGCTTGTCTACAGAATCTAGTTTATTCTAGCACATGAAGGCTCTGGTGGGTGTTGAAGTGATAGAGCGGGTAAAGCTTGCTAATAAGTAGGGTGGTTGGAAGCAAACTGCTGTAGCCTTTTCTGACAGTAAAGCTTTGACACACCTGAAAGAAGATTGTATCTAAAGAGGTAGCAGGTGAGATCATTGCCTGTTCTGAGCTGGAATCTAAGGAGAGGGAGCAACCTGATTTTTTTCTGAGTTCAGTCAGCTGGTGCTCCATAAGTTGATGATGGGTTTCGGTGTTTGCAGGCAGAAGCTGTTGATACGTAAGAAAACACATAACTTTCTACAGTTTTTCTTTTCCCTTCACGGGTTGGCAGAGCTGTGATTTTAGCATTACTTAATCTGCTGGAGCTGTATCAGCACTAATAATCATATCTCGTGCTTCTTCCTGAACAACTTTGGCTTCTGAGCAGCTCCTTGGGTAAGCAGCGCTGTATGCATACGCGTCAAGATAGCTCTGTACCAACAGGTTTGAACAGCCTGGTTTAGTGTGAGCAAGTTCAGCTCTGTCTGGATCTGTCTGCGTAGACATGGTGTAGGTATTTGTAGAACTTATTCAAAGGAGAGGAGTAAAATTGGAGGGGTTAGATTTTGTACTGTGCAATAACCCTCTGTATCAGAGGTTTATCTGTGTTCTGTGGTGATGCATGCTTGTTTCTGCCATGTCATGCTGTCACATGTGATATCTTACATGCTTCTGACTTGCAAGTGTTTTGCTGTGAGGTCCTGTGTGTGCCTAACTACTACCCCTGAAGTCTCCAAAACTGTGTTTTGATATCAAACTCCTACAGACAGCCAAGACCTAGGCATCATAGCCTTATGGGTATTTTTTATCGCTGTTCCCATTTCCCATTCATAAAATGGAGGGTGTTACATCTTCCCAATTCATAAGACCTTAAGAAAATTAATCCACAGATCTTTGTGGAACATTGAAATGCCATTGTAATGTTTGTTAGAAAGTTTTATACTTTACTTTAAATTAGAATATTAGAATTAAGTAGTATTCAGTAAGTTAAGCAAGTATTTCATTGACGAGGCAAATAAAATGATGCAACAAATAACTGTTCTTTCAGTGAATATATCTGTCCTGTGTACAAAAAAGCAGGAGTTGCTATCGGGCACACCCAACCTTCACCTTTTCTTATCCTTGACATTGACTAATCTCAGATGTTCTGGAGGAAAAGGAGAGGCTGCAGAAGGCAGAAGTGAGGTAATATTTTCCCACAAACGTTCCATCCTAATCTGTAATAGATAGAAGCCTTGAAGCAATCATTTAATATAACTTGTATCATGGTGGATGGTTTGTATAGTAGTATAAATGTTCAGTATCTGTATAGTGTAGTATTTAAACTCTGAAATGAAGGTCAGTGGCAGGGTACCATGTTGAAATGTGAATTACATAAAAGGGACTTTCAATTTTTTTTCTTATCTATTTACTTCATTGAATATCCTCTTGTGCTTTGAAACAAAGAAAACAGAAGTTCCTGTTTTTTACCTTCTCTGTACCATTCACATATGCTTTCATCATCTCTGCTTTCTGAGATAAAATTTTTTCAGTCTTTTCAATCTCTTTTCCTATGAGAATTACTCCCAACCTTTGATTGTTGTCTTGGTTCTTTCCCAAGTCTATTTAGTATTACAGTATCCCATTTTTCAGTAAAAGTAACTGATGCTTAGTATACAGTGTGCAGCACAGTTATGTCTCTGGTTACAATATATGTCTTTGAAATTGCTTCTTGACCTATTTCATACGCTATCCAGAAAATTGGGCTTTACTTTTGGCTTCTGTTACACACTAAGCAGAGGATCTTAACAACCTGGGAGAGTACGTAGCTTGTTTGAGGTTTCTCTTGTACACGGCTTTATTTTTGTCTTGACGCTGAGGTGCTTTTGTCATTGCACTGTTCGTGCAACTGAAATCACCACAAAACTCCCTTTTCCCAAAACATTTTTGTTAGTTGCAGACTTTGGCACTTCACTTTTCTTTACCTGCCCTGATTTCTCTGTCTCACTGATCAGAGTTAATATACTAAAATAAAACTTTGAGTAAGGACCTGAACTCAGTTTTTGTTGTAATAAGACATAAGCCATTTGGTCTTGCACTGTTTCTCTTGCTCCAACCACATTTTATTCATGGCTATTATTTGCCTTTTCCCTCATCCTTTTCTTTGTGCAGTAGCTTGCTGCTACTCATGAAAATCTTTTGGAAATCTCAATTATACCAGCCAGCCATGCTCCTATAACTGGAGTGCACTTTGCTATCTCTGTAAAGGCAAAAATGGGTAAGTCAAAGTTGTGAAGACAATCTTTAATGCTTCAGAACTTACAGGTGGTAGACTTTGCAACCTGAATATGCTTTTTGCTTTGTGTGAACTTTTGTGCTTGTAAAAGATGAAACAAGAAAAAAAAAAAAATCAAGAATCTCGTATGTAGAATTGCACTGATTCCTGTTTTATATGGCATCAAGTTTGTAACATTTTGGTTCTCAGAATGGACTTTAGTATGGATTCAAGGTAACAGGCAGTAGTTCTTGATGAGGATTAGCCACTAGAGTGATACCATGCTTGCTGGCAAGTTTCAGATATAGAGTGGCAAAGAGGAATAGTGCCTTCTGTAGCAGATTTTTGTGCAGTACTTTCTCTGAGGCCTCTTTAAACTCTTCCCTGTGGCAGCCCTTGCTCCCTCATCTCTGCAGAGTCTCCCCAGCATCTGTGCCTCAGTATAGAAGCATATGAAAGTAGAATATTAGCAAGATTACTGCACATACTTAAGCTGCCTCTATAGTAATGTTAGTTATGAGACAGTTCTGAAACTTCATCAGTGGCATAATCCCTTCAACTCTGAGACTAGAAGCTGCATAGATCCTCTGGGGAGTGGTCTGTGAAGCTTGATTAGTGTGTAAGTGTATAGTTTGAAGTCAGACCACTGTTTAAGATTAAAATTTAGAACTGAAATATAGGTTCAGTCTTGCTTGGAATAAGACCTCAGGTGTGTATTCTCACTATCTGTGAAGCAATTATCATTGTTGTCCACCACAGGCACATCTCATCACCTGCTTTACCTTCTCATCTAAGGTGGGATGGAGCTCATGCTGTGTTCTCCTTTGTAGCATATCATAATCAACATGACAAATGACATG